AACTATTTCCCTCAATCAGCAACCCCACAAGTGAGAAGTGAGAGCTAAATGGAGCCATCTGAAAGTCTGTTACCTTAGAGGACTTCTGCACCTGGTCCCCAATGTAGATCTTACGAAATTGCTCAAAAAAGCTCAGCATGGCCAATTCTAGCTTCTCGTTACCGGCCTGCGCCAAGCGAGAATCTGTTAAGTTCATCAGCTGGAGCACCCTAGAGGAAGAGGAGCAATGATTCTCTCAACAGCAGGATATCTGGAGGACTCTAGACAATCCAAGGACCCCAAAATAGTTGCATATGCCTGTTCTCCTTACCCATCCTATCTGAAAGGCATGGTCTGCAGGTTCTAAACTCTGGTGAGGAAACAAAATTCTCCTTGCTCCACAACAGAAACCACAGCTGAGGAACGAATGGTTAGATGTTTATCCACTGAGATAGGGAGACTGGGTCAGAACTCATAATCAGCTTAAAAAAAATGCCGGCATGAGGGGTAATGGTCTTTCCTGAAACTTCTGTGAGACCTAGGGCACAGCAATTTTCTGCATCCCTGTTCGTCTATCTATTTATAAATGCGGGAGACTGGGCTAGACCAGTAGTTGTCAATCTTTTTTCTCACAGAGCCATGAAAGGAATGGAGACGCGTGAAGGATGATGTTCACATGCAGGTGAGACTTCCAGAGACAAACAGCAGATACACTACCTGTGACTTCACCCCTGTCCCCTCTATCCCTCTCCCCAAAAGAAAGCATATTGGCATGCAAATGAGTGAATGCTGAATAACAATGATGTTATAAGTGAGTCACTTGACATTTTGATAGTGTGAGAATAGGTAACAAACTATTTGTGACATATCATGAGCAAATTAGACTTGATCACTGTGTTATTACATGCAAGCTGACAACCAGTATGCAAGACATTGCCTAAACTAAATTTATATTATGACACACACAGTGTCATACCAGGCTGCAGAATCAGAAAGGTATTAGATGTCATTCTTATTACAATTTTGCTCAACTCTTCAAAAAATGCAAGTAGGACAATGCCATGGAAACTTCTGTCAGGATTAAGGCTCCTAAGACAAATGGGCATCTGATGAACAAAATGGTGGTGGACAGAGACAGATGTGGATTTTGGAACAGGAGAGTTACAGACTGAGGTGTGTGCAGACCTATACAGCCTAAGCATCAGGTTAAAATGTATTCAATTCAATTCAAAGCTTAGAACTCTTTAAGGTAGTGGCTCTCTGTAAGGTCACAAAACCATTTTCATAATAATACTAAAACATTTTTTGCCTTTTTCACTTGCATTCTCATATGAGGGTATGTAGGGTTTCCCAGAGGCTTCAAGATGTGGTATCACAACAGAACGAATGCAGAAGCAAACATGAGAATCCAGCCAACTTCTATTATGCCAGACATTAAAGAGATTTGTACAACTGTAAAACAATGCCACTCATTAATTTTTTTGGAAAATAGTTATTTTTCATAAAAATATATTATTTATGTTAACATGAAATGGGCTTGCTATTATTTTAAAATAAATATATATTTTTAAAGAAACTAAACACTCTTTGAAGTCCTCAATACTTTTTAAAAGGGTAAAGTGTCCTAAGATCAAATGGTTTGAGAACTTCTATTTCAGAGTACTAAAAAATCCTGCCTTTTTATTTCTGTTAGGTAAATTTTTAGAAATCACTAATTATGTTTCATTTCTCCCCCCTTCAAATTAGAAAGATAAATTTTCAATAAGCTTTGATGCTCATTTAAAAGATTTTAATAAAATGAGAATTCCACAGATAAAAAATAACCTGAAATCCTGTAGGTGGACAAGTCTATTGCCAAGAGATTTGAAAGGCTATAGAAACTGTAATTCCATCTTTGGTCATCTCTGAAGAACCACAGTTTCCTATTAGACTTCTTTTGGTATGGTAAAAGCAGTCTGCGTTTTACTAACTCTGAGATATTGTCCTTAAACAGAACTAATAGCTACATTCCAATTTAGTTTTCCTAATTGTGTACCCATCATTTCCTTGCTGAATTATTGCCAAAATGTTTTTTCAATAACGATCATAGGCAGAGTTCTTGCTGCACTTATGAAAGACTTGAAGGCTTCGTTTTCACGGGGAATCAGTTTCCCAAGACTGTGTTCTGTAAACGGGGAGAAAAGCATTAAGAGGACCCAAACGGGTGGGAGAATGGTCAGAGAAGCGGAACGGAGAGCTGCTGGGGGAGCACTTACCGACAGACAAGCTCACCATCCATAGCGTCCTGCTCGTCAGTGCTGGCAAAAGAAACCCGGCCACCAATCACTGCTCCAATAATGTAAACCAGCCACGTCAGCCTTCCTGTAGCAGGAGGAAGACCCATCAGTGTCACCTCCAGTGATAATTTCATGAAGACATTCCTCACTATGAGCTTCCTTAATCTTAAGAACACTATGGTAAAGCCATTAAGTCTTACTTTTTTTTTTTTTTTACAGAGGATAGCTACTACTCTGCTCTGGTAAAGGTGATGCCAAGGAGGAAATTCATTAGATAATCAATGTTCCTATATCAGACAAGGCCATTATTTTTAGATTGCGGTATTTCTTTAGAGTTAAAGATACATATTGCAGACAGGATTTCAGTTCCTCTTCCCTAGTCCCCTGTGGCATTTATTCATTCATGAGTATTCTTTTGTGTATATGGAGGTAACTGATGATGAAAGAATCTTCCTCTGGGGGGGCAGGCGGGAAAGAGGTGGCAATGCGAGAAGGGGTCTGACAACATCCCTTCCCAGGTCGAGAGTTCCCTGCACGCTGCACACTCACCCTCCTGCACCGCAATGTCCATTGGGCTTGCGCTGGCGCTCTGGAGCAGCTCCTGGTAGGACTGGGCCGACTGGTCAAACAACTGCACAAGGAGCGCACATGTCTTCTCGTACTCACAACGCCCAATGGTAGACAGCTGGTCCAACTGCTGCTGGACCAGACCCGTATCCTCCAGTGGGTCTTCCAGGCCATCTCTATTCCCAAGGGAAGAAAGAAAGCAGCTCTCTTAAAATATGCCTATTGATTTCCGTGTTGATGCAGCAGCTCCCTTTCTTCTTAATTTAGCCACCATTTCCAATGGTAGAGGCCTGTATCATACCCTAACACTGCTTTTTCCCAAGAATATTAAGTCAGAAGGCAGATGTCTCTGCCCTAGAATCAGTCTGTGTCCTGAGGTATATTCTGCTTGGTGGCATCCAATCTTCCAATGTGAAAGTCCCTCCCTTAACATCTGTCTGCCTTGAACCTCACAGTCCTATGCTTCTCATCTCTCTGGGCTCTTAGCTCTAAATCTTTCACCTGTTTCTGACTATCGTAAACTTTGGGACTATAAGTACACAGTCCTCTGTGTGAGGCCACTGGGGCCAGATGTGTTTGGAATTGAGAAGCTTTCAGATTTGAGGAGGGCAATATGACGCTTCCACCATGTAATGTAAAATCCTTAATGGGCTTTGTGGCATATCAAACTCAGTATTCCTGTAGCAAAATGTATGAATATTATGAAATATCATACTAAGTAGGATTAAAAAAAAAAAAACCTCTATAAATGGTCTCCTATCAATCAGCTCACGTCAAGTTTTGCTGCCAAGTGAATTTTGGTACAAAACCAATGAGAAACTTTAGTTTTCACATCCTGGATTTCAGAATTGCAGAGGAGGTGCTGTGGGTCCATACTAGGTCTTGCCTTATCACTGGCTCCTAGATTTTAACGTCTTGTCCAGTGACGAGCTTTCCTTACTGGCATATCACAGTATGACAATGCCAACAGCAGCACCTCCACCACCACTACTACAACCAGCAGCTGACTGTGCTTACCATGTGCTACACACTGTGCCAGGTCATATTAATTTAATCCTTGTAAGAACCTTGTGAGACAGGCCTATTATTATTTGTAGTTTACAAATAAGGAAACTGAGAACCCTGCCTTAAGAGCATGCAGCTATTAACTGGCTATCTGGGTTCAGAGCCCACACACTCACCCACTCCCCAACAAGCCCTCACTGAAGCCAGGAACAGAAGCTATGGAGCTGACAGAACAATGCTTTCTAGTGAACTACACGAATACTCAGCTTTTGAAATAATTCAAGTTCTAAACAGTTAAGACTACAATTCATGACAATTAAATGCATTTAACTCAGAGCAAATTAAGAATCTGACTTTAAAAGGATCTCAGATCCTCAGAGTCCAAATAAATTCCTCTGAGAAACAAACAGCCAATGAAAAACTATACAAGAAAGGCCCCTAAACAAAGGTTAACTTCATATAATATACGTCACTTTTGAAAGGGCCTGACATTTCTTTAGCTACAGGTTTCTGGTCCAGTTAATAGTCAAGGTAGACAGAAACCATGTTAATGTAATGAAGTGGAAGACTGGAAAATTCCACTAAAGAGGAATTCTTAGAAATTCTACTACCGGGCTTTTTTTCCCTTGCGATCCTTACCTGGGCCCCCTCCTCCCCTGTGCCTTTGCCCTCATAAATCACCTGTAGAAATTAGCATACCAGGTTGTAAAGTGGCTCAGGATCCTGCCTCACTAAAGTTAACCCTGTTGTGACTATGCCCCTCCTCCTCTCCTGCCCTGTGACCTTTCCCCTCATAAATCACCTGTAGCAAGCAGTGTACCAGGTTGTAAAGTGGCTCAGGACCCTGCCTCTCTAAAGTTAACCCTGTTGTAGCCGTGTCCCTCCTCCTTAAGCACAGTGTATAAAAGACTGCAATGCTCTTTGTCTGCTGCTCAGAATTTGGGGAGACCAAATTCCCCTCTGAGCCTTGCCGGCTGGCATATAAAACCTATATTGCCAAAATCTCTGTGTGTGTGTCTCTTCGTCTATTCTCGGTCAGCCCTGCCGTAACTGTAATGCAATCAATAATCAGTTGCCTAGAATTCTTATGAGTTCTAGTAAGCTCTGGAATTAGAATTGATAACTACATTGTGTAATCTTTATCTACTTATTTCTTTAGGAGTTCACATGAAGTACCTATAACTTACACATTATAATTCTTATCATCTACATCCTATAAATGTTTCTCACATTTAAAGAATATCAGTGGCAAGGACAAACATTACACAGACGTACTTTGTATTCAAAGACATTGCTATGGATGACAAAATGGGACATGAATAGGAGGGTAAAGAGGTAAGACCATTCCGTCAGACTTTATGCTCTCATTATGCTACTCTGCTGACAAGGCAAAAGGACCACTAACAGTATTAACTTCAATAAGACCCCCACCAAAACCCCAACTGGGTGTCTGAGCTCTAGCAAGTCTGACAGCAGGCTGCTGGTGGGGAAATGAGGGAGGCCGCCCAAGTTTCTTTACCTCAGTATGATGTGCACAGACTCCAACCGGGATGTGATGTAGGCTTTGGTGACCTCAGGAGTGTAAGTTTCCAGCATGTGGGGCTCTGTGGCTTTGACGTATGGCACAGAGGCTGCCAGCCGCTGCCATAGGCTCAGAAGATAGTGCACACTATTTGGGGCAAATTCCCAGTGCTAGGGAAAACCAAAAGAGCAGAAGGCATATTTTTCATTTCTGTACACATCAGTTCCATACCACCTGACACAATGCATAAAGACTTCTTTTAAAAAAAGAGAATAGATTTTTATGGGCTTTGTTCTGTATATAGCAACTAGTTTAATGTGTTTATCAGTATTTCGGAGATTAAGCATCTAACAAGAAAAGCTGTTCTACACTGGTTGTGTAAACCTCACCACAAGGAAAGCCTTATGTAAATGAGCCTCAAACATTAGTATGCATGAGAGTCACCTGGAGAACCTGTTAGACACAGAGGCCAAGGCTCTACCCTGAACCTAGTGAACCAGAAATTACAGAGGTAAGACGTAAGCACCTGTATTTTTTCATCTTCTAGATGACTGATGAAATCCACTGTTCTGTATTACATGACTAAAAAAGAGAGGGCACTAACTCTTTTGTCAAGTTCCCTATTCCAACCTTGTCTTTGGGGGGTGATTAGGAGGGAATTCTCTCTGCTTTAAATCTAAATGTTAATTCCCACTTGTTCCTGTGACGACATTCCCTGCACTTTTGTTAGTGTAAATGATAGGCTGCAGGTTATCCTATGCTTATAGTCACCTCTGCCAAGAAAAAAGGGAACATTTTTTTTTTGAGACAGAGTCTTGCTCTGTCACCTGGGCTAGAGTGCAGTGGCGTCATTGTAACTACAACCTCAAACTCCTGGGCTCAAGCGATCCTCCTGCCTCAGCCTCCCGAGTAGCTGGACTACAGATGCACACCACCATGCCAGGCTTATTTTTCTATTTTTAGCAGAGACGGGGTTTTGCTCTTACTTAGGCTGGTCTTGAACTTCTAACCTCAAGACATTCTCCCGCCTCAGCCTCCCAGAGTGCTAGGATTACAGGCATGAGCCACTACACCTGTCCCTCAAAAAAGAACATTCTTATAAAGTTAAAACCAATGAGCAAGAGAATAGATTCCAATGTTTAGGCCATAAGCCATAAGAGACAAACCTGCAGGCTGGTCACTGTGAAGTTAGCTATCAATCGGATGACCTCAGGATAGTTTTCCACCTTTACCAATTCTCCCAGCTGATAGTTACTCTTCAACCGGGCCAGCAGTCTGCAGAACTCATGGTAATTGTTTGGGTCTGATAAACTCTGGCAAACAGCACAGGAGAAAAATAAAATGTAAAATGTGATTCACCATACTTCAAGAATGACATATATTTGGGATGGCATGGGGGAACGAGAGGAATCTACTTAATTTCTCGGCTGCAGGTTATAATTCAGAATAATATATCTGTATAATGTTTAAAAACATTTTTTTAGAAGTCATTTTCATAAGGAACAGTCACATTTATTATTTCTTCTGTTCATAATAATCAAGATGTGAGACGGGATTATTAGCCTCAACTGACAGAATTTGAAACGGAAACCCAGAAGGAGCACACGGCTTGTCTGAGGTTGTAAAGCTGACTGTGGCTGAAACGGGCACAACACAGAGCCGTGACTGGCCTGTTCGCTCCTCACAAAGGAAATCTCATGAAATTGTCATTTTCACATCTGTCAAACTGATCATTAAGCACAACTAACCTACAGTGGCAAAGTTATATTAAATGCAAATGTTTCATATATTCAGATCATTAATATAATAAATTTATCCATATATTGATAGGTTTATAGATTTTATTCTATACTTATATCAAATATTTATTTATTTACATATTATACTAGTATGTTTAATTTATGTTTCCTTATGGATGACTTCCTCTATTAGCACATGAAGGCAGAGACTGTTTTGTTCACCACTGTATACCCTGGCACATACTAGATGCTCAGTACCATTTGTTGAATGAATAAGTGAATTTTTAAAAAAGGTGAAAGAACTGCGTATATTTAAAAACAAACTGCTTTTATGATTTTTTCCTAGTATAGAGATGTGACACTTTGAAAAAAGGTATATGTTGGCTGAAAAAGAAAAAAAGGGCAACTGAGTTACAGAATGAATATTTGAAGGAGAAATATCTACCTTCCCACCTCAGAGCAGCCCTATACACTTAGGTTACTAATATACATTTTTAAAAAATATAAACAAAAATAAAAAACAAACTTTAGATTCTTCAGCTCTTAGGGGAAAATGACTAGCTCCATCCTTATTTATCTTCCTTTATCAAAGCGATCCCTTTCTCACAACTATTGCATTTCTGAAGGTGAAAGATACAAGCTCCTCTTTTGGGTAAATATTCTCAGAATTTGCCTACGAATATAGATTCACATATATCTTCCAAAGAATAGCACAACAAACTGTTTTCTGGGATTTCTGCAAAGTGTGGCCTCTGGATGGAATTCCTTCTGACTCATAGTGGCTAGGTATATACTAATTGCATATGTAAACAAATTCTCAAAAAGCTTACCTGTGGATTTTCCAGTATTCGTTTAACACCATCGACAAGGTGGGAGAGAAACTTGGCCCTCTCTGCATTGTTGAACAGGGACCTTCTGACTGAGGCGATCTGCACTAAGCAGGACAATACCTGAAAGCAGGACACAACCCCAACACAACTGATTAAAAAGATGGTACAGCTATTTTCACCAGAACTTCCCCCTCCTATAATATTCTTCTTTAGGATATCTGAAAGAGCTTTGAATAAAGAAAGAAAGAAAGAAAGAAAAGAGCATTAGAGCCAAGCTGATCACAGCAACTAGTTAAACTCACTTTGGAAATTCCCTTAGGTATTACTCTTTGACCACTTCAATGGCTTCTTTGATTCTTGCTAAGGTATGTACTTAAGGCTTGAAAGTATCAAGTGCTTCACATTTTAAATAAAGCTGTAGGTTTAGGGGTTTTTTGGTTTGTTTTATTAAGGCCTTTTGACTAATCAGGCTTTGCTATGTATTGCTATAATGAAATAACCACATTAGATCTATGCTCTGAAAAAAACAGCTTTCACACTGAAAACATTTTCTCCTTTCCCCCACTGTGCTAGATATTTATATTCTCTGTTTGTACCTCCAGATCCACTTTCTATCCTTCTCCACTCTGCTGTTCCCTGGGAGGCTGACCTCTGTCCAGGACAACAGCCAAGCTCCCTTGCCCTCTGGCTTGTAGCTGGCTTCAAACAATGGAAAGTACCAGCAGATCAGAGGGCAGAAGGAAAAAGGGACCCTCTCCCCACTCTCCAGCTGGTTGTGGGGTGCCAGGGCTTCTCTCCTGATGGCTGTAGCTCTTGTTGTATAGCCCCCCGCAAAGACACAGCTTTGGGGTTTCCTTCACTTGCCCTCTGAGGCTCCCCACTGCCACCCCTAGAGGCGTGCATCACCACTCCCTGTGGGAGTCCCTTAATTTTGCTGACCCCTTTGCAAATAGTCCTTTCATTAATTACCCCTCTTAACCACATTACCTTTTCCTGTAATAACCTTAATGATACACAAGACAACACTGAATTCATGTTTCTACTAAAGCAAAGGTCTATATTAATTTGGAAAAGTACTACAATGGCCAGGAAAGTAATTTACTGCAGAAACTCTACGAAAACATTCATTGTTTTACTCTGTTTCCTTTATATATGTTGTATATAACAGTGTTTTAGACCAACAATCTGGAATACCAGACCAACAGTATATTAGAACCTGTATGAATTTTGAGATTTCAGGTTAATTATTGTTTTAAAGGAGAAATACACCATTTCTGATAGCTTTCAAATGTTATTCAGACTAAGTATGCAAATTAGGATTCCTACTACAGTTTCCATTTATCACTAATGTATACCTGAGGGATTTTCTCAGTCAGGACAATCTTAATGGTTCAACTAGACAGTATTAGGTGAATCCTCACACTGTAGCCTGTGGCAATTTGAGGCATGGTATAAAATCAGATACGAGACGAGACCAAAAGAGCTTGACCATTTGTAGGAATTGGCCATCAGACAGGAATAATTTAAAAATAATTAGACTTTATTGATAGAACCTTTAGGCTACAAACTTAATCTCAAAAGGCTAGATAACTAAACCTAGTATTTTTATGCTTCACTTCTATGATTTTAAAAAACAAAATGAACATAAGGCTCATTCACCATTTCTACTTTATAGAAATAGGTTTGCTTTAGAAACTGTGGTCCTGACTCACCAAAGGTGAAAATGAAGGAGGGATGGAATGATACAGATCAAAAAACAGCTGCAGAGTTGAAGAATCTAAGAATGCTGGGGGGGAAAAAAAAGATAAAAGACATAACTTTATTATGTATGCATATTGCTACTGGCATACTTCTGGTACTATATATTACAGACCATTTCCCCTGCTTACTTATGTTACGTAATATTTATTTCCTTAGAAAGTAATAAGCTAATAGGGGCATTTTGGTTTTCCTTTTTTTTAAAGTACTAGTTTTAGCTCCTCTAAAAAATAGATTCATTCTTTTGATTCTCAGGGAACTTAAGACAATCCAAGCACCTCTGTCCACAGCAAGAATTTAAAATTTTATTCTTTTGGAACATAAAAACAAACACAAGTAGAAATTCTTTTGCTTTGTTTTGTTTTTAAAGATAGGTATTACCCTAAATAAACAGAAAACAGAAGTCTCTAGGTGATAATGCAAGAAGGTGAAATATACACTGTAGTCCCCAATCCCTGAGCCTTGGTCCATTACTGGTCCATGGCCTGTTAGGAAACAGGCCAAGCATCACCACCTGAGCTCTGCACCACAGGGGCCCCCCCCCACCCCATTCCCAGTCCATGGAACTGGTCCCAGTCCATGGAACTGTCTTCCATGAAACTGGTGCCAAAAATGTTGGGGACTGACTGCTGTGTTAATCAGTAACGTAAAGAGTTCTCCCATGCTGGGGGATATATGAGATTCCTCCAACAATCTTGCCCCCATGTTATAAAAATAGACATTAAAATTCTAAATTCTCTCTCAGAATAAACAAGGGATTGCTAGGGGTTCTTTAGATCATCCATCTTATGGACACTGTAGAGTTGAGTGGCAGACTGTGTTAGGGGGGTGCGTGTTCTGTTACCTGATCTCCAGCTGGTGGGAATCTGTACTGTACACAGGTCATCTGAGGACTCATCAGTAGAAGTGCCGATGAAATCAAAATTTAGGCAGTTGTGAGTGAGTTTGAGCAGTTGCATGAGCAAGCCATGCTGACTTTCATCATTCAAGTTTAGATTCTTTCCTGAAGCCTGTAAAAATTACCACATAATGAGCCCCAAACAATCACTCCTCTCTTCCTAGTTTGCTCCCAGACCCATGAAAAAGCTGTTAAGCCAGAAAAGGAGGGCTCTACTTCAGCACAATAAAATGCCCCGGTCAAAGACGCTATACTTCTGTCACCTTAATATTATTATAAAAATACTTAGCTCCTATTAGCTACTATTAAAACATATATACAATAAAAACATGAAGCTGGTATTTAAAGAGAGCCCCCTTTTAACACTTATTCTTCACATGTGGTAGACATTATGGCCCCAGAGAATTCTGAAGCAATATGGATGTGTGGTGATTTCACTGGCATGAGAGATCCTAGTTATTTCTAGACAGGGCTAGGATTAAATTCTGCAGGGAATTCTGAGGGAGTTTTACACCCTGCCCTACCCTCCTTCCTCTTTTTAACAGCACCATCGCCAAAAATCTTTCAAAACAGAATTAAAACAAAATCATCATTGAATTCTATTTATTCATCTGCAGTGTCCCTGCAGACTACAGCTAAATACTGGTCCACAGCTACTGGGGTTGTCAGATTCCAAGGGTAGACGAGGTGAGCCTCAGTGCTGGCTAAATATCTGTTCTTGATTATCAGTATCAATTAAGAAGAGTCAATCCTTAGTTTTGTCAAAAGTTTTCCCTTCCAGGGGAAACAAGAGCTTTTGGCACGCAGGTTGGCTAACCTAAGGATTGTCTGGGAATTCTGAGAGAAAACTAAGTAATTAAGGAAAAGATGGATATCATTAACTGGGACAACAGAAAGAATCCAAACTTGGCTTCTAAAACTACAATTGGGAAATGCAGTAAAAAGAGGACAAAAACCCCCAAATGAGCAAAAAGCCAGAGGCTAATCCCATTTAGCTTTTCACAGGGACAAAGCACTCAAACTCGGATATAAATGTGTAGAGCCCTTAGGTTAACATTTCTTTCTTAGTTTAACTCTATCAATAAATGAATTGAAACACCAACTTTCTGTTTTAAAACAAGTAATTTCCTTATGTGATACTGTCTACCCCTTCGGGTTATTAAATCTAAATGAATGTTAAAAATTCAAAATCTACTTTTCCTTACAGATGTTGCTTGTTTATTTGCTGCTCTTAACTCAGCAGGGGACAGAGAAGCCCGCCTAGTTTTTGTATGCTAACAATGTAGTCTAAACCTGCTTTCAGAGCACTAAGAATCCAAACACCATAAAACTAACATGCTTTCATTCTGTACAGAAAGATTTTATGTGGTTAAAAAACAACAACAACCACCAAGCAACAAAATTTCAAACTCTGTAGTAAACTCGGTTCCTTTAAGATAGGAGCATGGGATAAATGCTCACTTATTGCTCTTTACCTACGGGAATAGATCTGAAATAGGGAAATTACAACCCTTCTCTAACTTCAGTGGTCAATCTGCCAAGTTTCTCCAATACCTCTGAGAAGTGTATCATGTGAGAGACAATGACGATGAAAGAGATGTATAAACTCCCATGGGGTTAGTTAGGAGCTGACATTTAACAAGTTCCCACCCATTACCATCCTTCTAAAAGAAACAGGAAAGCATGACCCAAACTACATTCTCACCTGTTTTAGTAAATTGCAGGAAAGTGTGAAGATATCAAATAATGATGAATCTCGAAAAGAAGAGGCTATTTTTCTGTGCTTGGTTAAAGGATGGGTGGTGTCTGCCTGTGCAGAAAAAGAGTAAACCAATACAAAGAATTGTAAAGAAAGAATTTTTCATGTAGACTTCACATAAACTAGAAAGACTTCCAATAAAAGCAACATCGATACAAAATACATTTTAAACATTTAAATTATTGTGAGGGCATAGCTAGGGAAAGGCTGCAGAGGACAGTAGGCTGCTAACAGCTAGCTAGGATGTTCTCTCTAGCTTACGGAGGAAAAGCAAAAGCAGGGATGAGTATCTTAACTGCAAATCCTTATTTTCCTCTGTTCTCAGGGAGGTAAAACTTAACAAATTGTTGGCAGACATTGCTAATAATTACTGTCATGTCGTTTTTGTGGCTTAGTCTCAAAAACAGAGTAATAAGGCTTGGATTTGAGTAAAAAACAACTTTAAAAGCATCCCCTCAAAGCTGAAGTTACTAGAGAATTTCCCAAAACAGTCATTAACAGTCATGAACTTAAGATAAATGACAGTAGCCTGTAATATTTCTTCCTTCGTTAACCTAGTCAACATATAGTCTATACCACGGAAGTGAAAACTTAATTTAAATGGCCGTATCAGTCTCTCACTCATCCCTCTGTTATTGTCTTTTCAGCTAAATTATAAATTTTTTTGTGGCCAAGAACTACACCTTTTACTTCTTTAGTATGCCCTATATTCCTAACACATAGAAGGCACTCAATATGTGGAATAAACGAATTTCAAGGTTGCCAAGGATATTTTTAGTCCAACCACTTATTGAAAGCTTAAATCTCTCCTATATATCATCACTTCATCCAAGAGGAGGCTCATTCTGTTTCTGCCACATTAAAGAGTAGTGCAGCAAGATTTCTGACAATCAAGTCTTCCTTGATTTTATTTCTAAATTCAAATAGGAATGGTGACAGAAACATACTTTCTGCTTTGAATCTGACAACCAAAAAATAATGGAAAATTAAAGTGACTTAGAGGTTCAAAATATTCTGATTCTAGCTCCAGTGTCACTATGTTATCGTGTATGTCTTAACATAATAAAGGTCTTTCTAAATTGTATATAATCTGTTATAATGAGCATAATAGAATGTTAGCACATTAAGTATACTACACATAATTTCACCGTTTTCTAAAAAAGACAAGTAAAATCTTGAAAATGGTCTTTTTTTTTTTTTTAAATACCAACATTGATGTAGCTTGTGAAGACAAACTTGAAAGGGGATGACATTAAGCCCACAATCTCCGTGCTTAGTTAATGCATGCGCTCTCCTACCGCAAAGGTAACAGTGGTTAAACAGTAAGTTAGCTGTTAAAAACACAGGCTCTAGAATGAGATTGTCTGGGTTCGAATTTAGATACTGTTGCTTACTAACTGGGAAACCAGAGGCAAATTATTTAATTTTTATGTGCCTCAGTTTCCTTATCCAGAAATAAGGTAACCACAGCACATACCTTATTGGACTGTTATAAGAAGCAGTGGCACATAGGAATCACTCCAAAGTGTAAACTATTATTATTGTGATAATTACTGATCACAATGGGGACTGCATGTGACAGAAAACACAATGTGGACTCTAGATTTAATAGGCTATAAGCTAATACATTTAGCATAGCACCAGGTCACAGTTAAAATTTCTCAGCGTTAATAAAAATGTCTGCATAATTATGAGCAACAGCAACAGTAATGCTAATGTATTTAATATGCAGACACGGGTGAGATATTACAACTAATATTAATACTGGCCTGTTCAATAATTATAAAATTTTAGTGGGATACGAAAGTAAATGACTGAAAAAATAATAGCCAGAGCAAAAGAAAGCCACTGGTATTTCCTCTGTAGCATTCTGTGACATCAATGACTAAAAAATTAATTGGTATTTAGCAGAATGTTTCATCCATTCTGAAAAGATTACCAGCAAAATATTTAATAGTAGTACACGGGAACTGATTTTTAAATGATTATAACACATATTAATGTACACAGGAGCAGAAAGGGCACACAAATGATGCTGGTTCCACTTTTATAATCCCTTTTTTGGAGTTATTCTCTTTCATTAGCAGGGTAGCATTTCACTATGGTTTTGACTTATGAACATCACTCTCCATCACTCTCATCTCTAAAATGAACATTAATATCAATAAGGAAAGCTGAGATGGGAGGGTAAAATATTCTGGAGACAGAAGCAGACCAGGACGAAAACTGAAGTAGGCTGAACTTACAGAGGAAAACCCAATTGAACTATTTTGTTTCAAAGGGCATTAATCACTTACCGCAAAAGCACACAACTGCCAAAAAAGATCATCCCACACACAGCAGAAAACACCAATACTAAGAAAAAATATTGCACTTACTTCAATGAGGAAGGCTGTAGCACTTACTTGATTAATTTCATTGGTTAGCTGAGATAAAATCGTGACACCAATGATGCAGTATTCAACACTATCCTGGTAAAAAAAGTAAGGTAGAAAGAATTGGCATTTGCAATGCACTCATACTTTTGAATAACAGATTCCTGTGTCACCTAGACAAGGTAGTAAGGAATTATAGCTTAAAACTGTTGCTTCGCTGGATATAAAACCTAAGTGCCATTAAGGAAGACTGATAAATCTGACTTCATCAACATTTAAAACTTTTATATTTTAAAAATTCCTGTAAGCATTATAGCATACACATTCTAAAAAGATAAACTTCAAAACACATTTATAAGGTAAATGACAAATGAGTAACATAATTTACAAAGAGACTATATACAACAGTAAGATGGCAAAGAATCTAAGAAAAAAATGGGTATAAGACATAAATAGAAGTTCATAGAAAAACAAATATAAGCAGTAAATAAACACATGGAAATTTGTCCAGTCTCACTTGTAACCCAAACAATGAGATACCAATTCTTTTCGCTTATTAAATTGGAAAAATGATAAAGTTTAGCTTCCAGGGCTGAGATATAGGAAAGTAGGCACTCTTACAAACTGCTGGTGGAAGTAATAAATTAGGTATAGTCATGCATTGCTTAATGATGGGGATATGTTCTGAGGAATGCATGGTTAGGCGATTTCATCATTGTGTGAACATCACAGAGTGTACTTACAGAAACCTAGATGGCACAGCCTACTACACACCTAGGCTATGTGGTATGGCCTTTTGCTCCTAGGCTACAAACATGTACAGTGTATTATTACACTGAGTAATACTAATAATACTATAGGCAACTGTAGCACAATGGTAAGTGTATCTAAGCATAGAAAAGGTAATGTGTTGTACTACGATGGCTACATCACTAGGTGACAGGAATTTTTCAGCTCTATTATAATCCTGCAGGTCCACTGCCACATATGCTGCCTGTCATTGGCCAAAACATCATTATGCAGTGTATGACTGTATATAACATTTTTGAGGGTAATCTGGAAATATTTTGCAAAGTAAAAAAAAAAAAAAAAATACATATCCCTTTGATTAATTTCCAAGGCTAGGAATTCACCTTACAAACACACTTATTCAAAAATATCACAAAAACATTAGCTAGGTGTGGTGATGCATGTCTGTAGTCCCAACTGCTCCGGAGATTGAGGTGAGAGGACTGCTTGAATGCAGGAATTTGAGGTTACGCTGAACTATGATAGTACCACTACACTCTAGCCGGGGTCACAGAATGTGACCCTGTCTCACAAAAAAAAAAAAAAAAAAAGGGACGAGAATTGGGCTCCTGTCTCAAAAAAAAAAAAAAAAAAAAAAAAAAGGTACTGGGATAGTCACTTAAATATTTATTTTAACAGCTAAAAAATAGCAACAAAGTAAATGTCCATCTATAAAAGATTAATTAAATTATGGTGTTTTAGCTTGGAATAGTATGTAGGCATTCAGAAGAACGAGGCAGGGTTTGTTTGGCTGACATGCAAACACATAAGGGTAAAAAAGACGCAGAAGAGACCATATCAAATAATTCTATTTTGTGTAATTTTTCAAACAGCAGATAAGCATGTAAGTATATATATGTTGCTTCTCCCATTCCTATTATATCGAATATATACATCATACCTGTAAAAACCTCGTGACATCTGTGATTGCATTTCTGAAGACATAGTCATCCTTCTGACAGTCAAACCAGCCCAGTTTTGTGATTCTGGCATATAACTGAATAAGTGCTTGTGTCACGAAAGTAGCCAACTTTGGCCGAGTGGCAAGGTAGTTAAGCACATAGTTCCCTAGAAAGCAAAACAATCCACATAACAGAAAGCTCTGCCAGAGAAAGGTGTATAATCTTTAAACATGCTAAATGGCCAAGAAATGGTAAATTTAGACTATTTTTACCCTAAGCTCCCTTAATTCCTAAAGTGGGACCTCAAATTTAAGATTATTAGTAGGCTTTCTAATTCAGAATTTCATACTGTCACAATGAAGAGTTTGAAGTATAGCTGCCTTGAATTTACCCCTACATAGCTAAATAATGTGGTCTACCCAGAATTCAAAATCCTTAACAATGTTTTACTTAGTTACTAGTGGCAATAAAGACTGTATGAAAGTAATCTCTTGACAACAAAAGGGATCATTTAGGCTTTATTTAGAAGTAATTGTATTGTGTCCTCTGCACTTTCATAAGCCCAAAATTCTGGAAAAAACCTGGATTCTAGATATTCTGTACGATTAGCAATGTCAGCCATTATCAAACAAGCACACAGAGTTAACTATTACCAGCACACCATTAATTAAACTAATTTCTTCAAGACAGAACGGTAAATGCTCTACTTACGAATATCTATTCGTTGTTCCAATGGTAGGGGGTTGTTTGTGCGTGATACAAGCTTGGTAAGGCATGTAGCTGCCAGTAACTGGGAGTAAGATGACTGTGAAAAGAGGGAGAAAGAGGACTTAAAATTATACTGGGTAAGTTAGTCATAGGGTTTTTTACTTGGAGATCTGTGCTCAGATTCAAGAGAAGGCATTCGGTTTTTCTATATTTGATCCTCTGGATTTTGGAGGGTAACTCTGAGGAAAAATGAGCCCCACATAGCATAATGCTTATTTAGCTGACTTCAGCCATGAACAAGGGGCACTGAATCCAATGTGGGTATCTGCTTCACTGTGAGGGACCGACCCTGGAGGGCATCTTTGCAGAAAAATATCAGATCCTTAGAACAAAAATCTCTTCTCTCATTTAATCCAAGAAATCTCCTTCCTTCAATATCTGTTAAAATGAAGTTTCAAAATGTTTCACCTCAAAATATTTCTATAGTATGGTATAAGAAAGAAAAAAAAAGACAAGTATTAGAGGGAACCACCGCACTATGCTATATAGTTAATCCCTAAGTTAGATCTTCCCATCAGCATAGCTATCAATAAACTACAGAGCTGGGGAATGAAGAAAACTTCATAACAATTATTTGTGAGAAAGAAAAAGTATGCCCTAAGCAATGGAATGGCATCATCACAGTCTCAAATGTGGCTTTTAATGAATTTTAACCTTATGGAGAATCAAAGCATTCCATTTGATCACAATATATAAGAAGGAACCATGCAAGAATTCCTCCATGTGGCTATACTGTATAATGTCACGTAACAGGAACAGACTAAGAACCAGTAAAAATAATTTATTCAAGGGTCAAGGATAATTTTCCATTAAAGTAAAAGTTCTTAACACCGTAGGCTATCCATTTATGTTAGTATTACATAATACTACCAGCTATAAAAATTTAAGATTAAGAAAAAAAAATCTATAAAAGTGACTTTGACAAGTGATTTCTGTTCAACACACCTGAACATGGCTTAGACTGATTTGTTAAAGCAGATGTGGTCAAACCATTAATATGCAAGAGAGGCTACTATCATTATAGTATGTAATGTATAACTATAACGACATATTACACAATGTGTAAGTAGTTTAATTTCAATAAGTCTACCAAATCACTAAGAAGTCAATAGAGAGATTAAAAACTAAGAATCCACCATAATTAAGTGCTTTTATGCTTTTAGTATTGCACCAATCCAATTTTCTTCCAGCCTGCTGACTGTCAATGAGGAGGAGCTGGAGTTCAGTACTAGAGATTTTACTGTGGGGTTCCAGCAGGAGTCAGCTGAAGAGCTAGCTGTGCATCTCCCATAGGACAAGTGTAAGTGGATTAATCCAAAGACCAAGTGATTTAAAAGAAATATACAAAAAATTACATATGCAAAACTTAGACCACCACACAATCTCTGAACATGACCTTGTATTATTCAGACAGCTGAAAAAAGAATTAGATCACTCAGCTACCAAGAGATAATTTTAGCCAACTATAATTTGTTCTATTTATTGCATAAACAATATTATAATAGTAATGAAAATTCAAAAATGAAGTCATCTAGAATTCTACCCTCTCAACAAATTAACTGCTTTCATTTTTTCACATTTCATTCCAGTCTTGAGGATACTTTTTCGAAAGTAAATTTTTATTAGCCAATTCTTTAGGGCTACACTGTTGTTCAGGATATAATACTATATTATCACTTCTTCATAATAATAATGACTAACATTTGTACTTTTTTTAGTGTCGTCCCTTTCATCTGTGAAACAAGACAAATACATGCCTAGAAAGTTGTTTGAGCATTAGGAAAATAGGAGGGCGACACTTGATTATGTCACTGCTTTGCTGAAAGAAGGCTGGTACTTGCTGCTACTGTCTAGCTGGGATTCTGACTCTCTCAGTGCCCTTTCATGGTACCCTGGGGGATCTTACCCTTCCTTAGACTTCCATCTCACCAAAAATAGTAATTTTATCAAATTATGTCTCATTAGAAGCATTATTTTATCACTGCGATGCCACTATTATGCTGGAGGAGGTTCTAATTCCATTTTAAATCCTACATCTTGTAACTTTTATTGTCAAGGTCATTTTTCCCTGGACTCGTAAGGCACTAAGCAGCAGCTATGGCAGAGAGGAGAAAAACACCAAGAATGAGGCTCTTGCACAGTGACAAGGACTTTGGATACAAAAGGTCATTTACATACAGCCCTGTCTTCTTCTGAAAAGAACAGGAGGTGGCGCTTAAGTGTAAACACACAAAACATGTTTCAGAAATTTGATTCAAGATGAAAAATGGCAGGATTATGTTCGAAGATTTTCCTGATGAGGCTATATGGGTTTTCTTGCCCACCTGGCAGGTATGGTGCTTTTCAAAGGTAAAATTAAGAAGTCAGGGACACCTACAAGAATCAGGGAACAGAACTAGCCCAATCCATCCCTAACGTTAGAACAGAATACCATTTCCTAAGCCTCCAGTATCCTTTAGAATTTTTTACATCTTACGTACACTTCCTCTTTCGAGGAGTAGCTGGCACTTGCTCAGGCAATCGGGACTGTTGGTAAATTCAACCAAGGCTTTCTCTGCCTGGAGTCGAGTGGTTGTATCTGTTGTTTCATACAGCTGTTTGCACAGATTTTCTAGTTGGGCCAGGCTCTGAAAAAGATCAGTCAGGAAAGAAATCAGTCCAGCCTACTATATATGCAAGGAACTGTGCTCAGAATTACTGGACAAAGATAAAAGAGAATTGCTTCTCAACTCTGAGGAGAACCTGGACAGTCTTTATCTAATAATAACCATTTGTAGCTCTCTTCATTTGATGCTTTAGAAGAGAAAATGATAGAATAATTAAAATATCTATATACTTTTTCAGTCATTCACTTGGAGACAAATCACAAATAATACATTTTTTCCCCCTGCAAATGCCCATCTTTCTAAGTTTTTCCAAAAGGCTTTCAAATAAAAATTCAGAATTTACTTATTCTGTCATCATTTTAAAAGTATGAAATACTACAGCAATTGCTACTAAAATCAGGCACATAAACATATGATGTTAGTGCCACATATATCTTTATATAGTTTAAAATATCTTGGCTGGGCGTGGTGGCTCACGCTTGTAATCCTAGCACTCTGGGAGGCCCAGGTGGGAGGATCGCTCAAGGTCAGGAGTTCCAGACCAGCCTGAGCAAGAGCAAGACTCCCATCTCTACTAAAAGTAGAAAGAAATTATCTGGACAACTAAAAATATATAGAGAAAAAATTAGACAGGCATGGTAGCATGTGCCTGTACTCCCATCTACTCGGGGAGGCTGAGGCAGAAGGATTGCTTGAGCCCAGGAGTTTGAGGTTGCTGTGAGCTAGGCTGACGCCACAGCACTTTAGCCCAGGCAACAGAGCCAGACTCTGTCTCAAAAAAATAAATAAATAAAAAATAAAAAAAATTAAATAAAATATCTTTCCTCTGAGTAGTAGTTATTAGCTTACAATGATATATATGTATAAAGATGGTCACTTCTACGAGAAAATCTATGAGAAAGCTTCAGAATATACGTACGCACCTTCCTCCCTGGATCCCTCATGTCTAAAGTTCGGCAGACTCTTCAGTTGTACTTTAAACTCTTGCTTCAGTTCCAAATTTAAAGGGTCAAAATAAATTCAACCCTAGCATATGCTCACTCACAGATAAGAGAAGGGAAACACCGCCAAGCAAATCCTTCTCTCCAAACCTTGAACCAGTTCCAGGGAGATAGGGAGGGGTATGGGTGTGTGCTTTGGTCAAAAAAGCCAAAGCGATGCAAAGCTACTTCCACTTAACGTGGTGTTTAAAGGAAGAGAGAAGGAACTAGTTAAGAATATACTATTAGCTTTCACTGATGGAAGAGGAAAGTAAACATCTGTTAGGCTTTAAAGGAACGGTTTGGACTTTAAGAAGAAATCGGAAGCAATTTTCACCAGTAGCAAGCAAGATTTGGTTTAAACAGTTTGAAGGATCCTACTATTAGAAATGACAATTCTGACAAGAACAAAAATAATAATAATTAAACAAACCAACCTGTGTAAACTGCCTAAAATACATTACACAGCCAGTCTGCCCAAGGCTTTTCATTATCATTTTATTTCATTATGCTGTGACTTTATAAATCACAGCTTCTCCACTAAGCAGGAAAGCCCTTTGGGTAGGATTCCTATTTTACTCAACCTGATTGATAAATTTCCAACATTAACCTAAAGGAAACAAGAAAAATGAATACTGACACTCTAAGATCCTAAGTCTCACTCCAGAGAGCCCCCAAAAGGACAAAAACAACCCTGTCCTCAAAACAAAACAAACAAGCCCCCCCTTCAAAACCTTAGGACTTGACTAGGCTTACGTTTCACTTGTTTCTGACTTCTAGGGGTCCCACTCACTGCCTCCTTCAATCCAAAAGCACAGAGAAAACTGCAGTTGCAAAGTCAGATCTCAAACAGTGAAGTTCTATAAGCACTGCCTGAGTTTTTCATATGGCTTATAAACACAAGAAATAGAAGACAAGGCCTATTACATACATTCCATGAAATACATGTAAAAGTCATTTTTATGCTTGGCAGTACTGGCTCAAGACCCTACTGAAAACCGAATCAGTTTAATTATAAATCCCACATTCCTAAGCACGGGATTAAATCTCCTTCACAAGGTTTTTTTTGTGAAGTCTGGTTTTCCCCTCCTATAAAATGATTCACTTAACAGAAAAGGAACAAATTATTTAAAAAAATAGGTAACACAGAAGATATCACCAGCAGGACACTGTAACTAAAACTGAAAAGCCAGCGATAAACTCTGGTACCAGGAATGCAGAGCAGCAGCTGCAGCCATCACACACTTTGAGCTTTCCAACCTCCTTAACAGACACTCCCTAAACAGTCCCGCTGCTTAAGGGATAATGATGCTTCTCAAAGTCTGATCAATCAGTTCCCATAGCTCCCCACTGCAACTCTTGTTTATGTTTATTACAACAAAGCTGTTCACATGACAATAGCTAAGCATCTGTCACAGGTAGTTCCTTACTGCTAAAAACCTAAATGCAGGTTATGGTGGGCTTTTTTTGTTGCTGTTGTTTTGTTTTGATTTGCTTTAATTTAGCAGACAAAACATACTGCAGGGTAAGTCTGGTAATGAGTTCTCAGCTCAGGAAACAAGACTGTTTAAAAAACAAAAAAGTAATTTGATCATTTACACAAACAATTTCAAGAACTACAGCTCCATTTCTTTGTTGCCAGAAGAAGAAATGGGAAACAATTTTGTTTTCCCAAACAATTAGTGGAAACATCTAAAAAACACAGGGTCATTTTATTTGGGTTGCCCGTATTACCCACGGGAGGAGAGAGAATTGAGTGAGACGTTTACATTTATGCTCTTTTGGTTGCTAGTGTTTCCAAAGCAAATCTAATGGTTAGGTTATTCTGAATCACCATTTTTTTTTGGACCTAGCATGAAATAATTTATCCTACACAATTATTTGATTAGCTATTAAAACTAGTACTTCAGGCTGGGGGCAGTGGCTCATGCCTGTAATCCTAGCACTTTGGGAGGCCTAGGTGGGAGGATAGCTCGAGGTCAGGAGTTTGAGACCAGCCTGAGCAAGAGCGAGACCCCGTCTCTACTAAAAAAATACAAAGAAATTAGCTGGACAACTAAAAATATATAGAAAAAATTAGCCGGGCATGGTGGCGCATGCCTGTAGTCCCAGCTACTTGGGAGGCTGAGGCAGAAGGATTCCTTAAGCCCAGGAGTTTGGGGTTGCTGTGAGCGAGGCTGATGCCATGGCACTCTAGCCCAGGCAACAGAGAGAGACTGTCTCCAAACAAAAACAAAAAACAAAAGAAAACAAAAACCTAGTACTTCACACTTAGAGGTGGCAAACAACACGTTACAGCATTCTCCTCGTTTGCATTATAAAACCGATGTTCAACACTTTGCTATTCCCCAGTTCTTATTAAGGACATCTAGTACGTGATGGCACTTCGGTCACAGAAAAGCCTCCAGAGAAGAATGTCTATTTTCTGTTCCTGAGATTGCCAAATGTACAATCCACAGAGAAACTTCCACCTGGTCTTGCTGGGACAGAGAAGCACATTTGGGGAAACACTTTATAAAACTGGAAGGCGATCTTCAACTAGCAAAGTACTGCTTTAGAACAAGAAATTCAAGATGATTAACTCCCAAACCTAGAACCAGACTGATTTCAACAACCATAATGACTATGAAGGTATTAAAAAAAAGTATCTTCTTTAATATTTAGCAACATTATTTTATACAGTCTTTTCAACTTGGATAAACAAAATACAGCTCGGTTATTCTCATTTCAATATAAGGTATGATTTGTTGAGACTACAGACCTCAGAATATAATGATTTATCTGGCAAGTTGCTTCTAGATTATAGGAAAATGAAGATTTTGTTTGTACATTAGATGTTATACTACTCCATAAAGTAGAATACCTTGGAATTTACTTTAATTTGTATACTATACTTTTTAAACAGCTTAATGGTATATACTTTTAAATTAGCCTCACTGCTTTAAAAATATATATATATACACACACTTGGAGATTTCCAATCAGAGACTAGCATACTGGCTTTCAGGAAGGACTCGACGACAATCCCTGTAACGCGGAGTGCTGAACTAGAAATAAGAATAACCCTTGGAGGATCAGTCATATCTGCAGGTCTTAACCTGACTGCCACCGAACCATCTGAAATGAGCAGAAGCTACCATCATATTACAAAGTGTAGGTGCAATCCAGAGAAGTTCTAATGAAGACAGAGTATATTTAATAATTTTATAGCTGAATTTTCATAATTAGGATGCCTTAAATATACAAAAAAACTGCTGAAAAATCAAGCCATGTTCAACCTCTTCATGAACCCCATTAATTTAGATTCCCTTAGTTGGAATTTTTCTGTGTACTAGCAAATATCATGTTAAGTAAATTAAAAGATGCATACTGAAACTTGCCAGAAAAATGAACCATTTTAAGGAGCTAGAAGGTTAATAAAATTGACATACCAACTATATTTTGTTTTTTAAAATCTATTCCATAAGGAATTCTTATTGCCAATAATGAGAATCCAATTATCATATATAATAATAAAAAACTTAAAAATTCAGGAATAACAATTATTGTCAGGTTACAAAAGTGGCAAAACAGAATGCAGAGTATATTATTAATATGATGTGATATATGTTAGTAAATTTATAAAAGAAAATCTGGATGAATACAAACCAAACAATTATCCCTAATGGGAGACTTTCAATTTCTATGTTATATATTTCTGTATCTTTTGAATTTTTGACCACAACCATATACTACTCTGTAAGCAGGAAAAAAATCTCAACAATACAGATAGACAGACAGATATTTTTTAAAAGGGCAATTTAAGCTACATTCTTTTTCTAAGTTAACTCTTGTAATAAGTAACATTTTACTAATAGCTGATTCTGTTACCAATCAGAACTCATAAAACAAATTCATAAAACCAAAAATGCAAAAGGCTATTCCAAAGATTGTTTAAAAAATGTTTGTGTTTATTACTAGTTCTATTTCGTTTTTTCTTACCAATATTGGTAGTTTAAATGGCCTGAAAAGAACCCTCAAGGTTTCTTCTTGTTTAGAAAG